AGTATTAGGAGAAACCGTTAGGCGTACAGCCTCATAAATCAAAATCAGCATTTGCTCATCCACAACTTGGGTTTTACTGAAAACCTCCAAGAAGATGGAGTCTGTCCTCCTGAACCACAGACTCCTCGCCATCCCTTTGGGAGTCTAACCCAGGCAGCGTGTCCCCCCCCAGGACAGGAGCTGCAGGGTCCCCCTGGCAGGAGTCGGGTCTGGCACACAGCAGCGCTGGGTTCTGAGTGACGGGCATTTTTCAGGAGCAGAAGGGGGCTGACTCGTCACAGACCCACACGCTCTTTAATTCCAGTTTGGAAGCGCACACCCGTCCTGCCTGGGAACGGCCTCTCCTTTGGGAACGTTCTCAGCAGGAATGACAGGATGTGAGGGGCTGTAATTACTCTGTGTAGACAAACACGGTGATGTGTGAGCTCCTCCTCACTTTGCTCCAGAAAGTGGTTATTTTACTAACTTCTAATCTTATGTAAAAAAGCAAAAACAAAAACATCCCCCATAATCCCACTACCCCCCCGAAAATAACCACATTGACATTTATGTCCACATATTCCAGACCATTCTGGAGCAATCCCAGTTTTCAGAGCAAGAGGGAATCTTACTGCGAACACAACTTTGTGACCCTCCGTTAGCAGTCATCAGACACCAGCACACTCTGGGCCGAGCGGCCACCGTTCCCAGTGGAAGGTGAGAAGCCTCTGTGGGAAGACAGGTCAGCGCCAGGGGTGGCCCCTTCCCCACAACAGAAACCAGGTGAGAGGAGGCAGACGGAGACTGCCTGTGGGCGGGGGTCTCGAGTGGCCCTGGGGAGAGGTTCAGCACCCCAGCCCCGTCCCAGTGGCCACTGGGGAAGGTGCGGGTCAGATCAGGAAGTTTGGGGCAGCTCCTCTTCGGGCCAGGAGCTGTGCCCACATTTTGTAGGCATTTTGTGGGAAAAGGGAGGCAATTCCATCCTTGAAATAATCACACGTGTTGACAAAAGGAATGGAGTACTTTGGGGGATATTCTTGCACATGAGCAGCCCAGCACTGAAGAGGTCTTGTTTTTGACTTTTGCTCACGTAACAAGAATATGCTTCTTTCACTGGAGAAAGTGGTGATTTCCTCCGTGATGTGACCTTCCCCAGCCCTGCCTGGGAAGCAGGAGGCGGACTCCCCGGGTGGGTCATGCACGTGTGCCGTGCTGTCTGGGACGGCAGCTGCCTGTGAGCCCCGATGTGGCAGCGCAACATCCTGGAGCCTGAGTTTGCGCCGGCTGGCAACGAGCTGCCACTGCAGTGACAACACGACTAAAGCCACAGAAGTTACGAGTGAGCAAAGTTCACGCTCAGCGTCAGGAAAGTATTGTCCTAGTAAGACAGAAACTTTGCCCCAAATCACTTTTCTGGAGAATGGACAAGGCCAGGAGGAAAGGACTGGGGTTCCCCAGTGCCAGACCCCATGAGCCCTTCCAAGAAGGTCTACAGCCGCGCCTCCCCAGCACCCTCTCCACAGCCGAAGGAATGCAAAGAACAAACTCGGGCCTTTCCCAAGTTACCCGCTGAGGAGTTACTCGTGAGGGGCAGCCTCATGCGAGTGCCGGGGACACCTGAGCAGCATGGTCCCCCCCAGGGGCCCCGGGATGGCCTTCTGCTGAGAAGGGAGGGAGACGCACGTCCCCGTCTCTCCCACACATTCCGTCTGTACTCGGTCTGAGTCCAAACACGGGGCTGGGCAGCAGCTGAGTTCGGGACTGACCCTGCCCCCGAGGCCCAGACAGGCCACCAAGCCCTCTGGCTCTTTTGAGTTCAGAGACCAGATGGAGGCTCCTACTTCCCACAGCGACTTTGCCAAATGGAGCAGCCGATCTGAGAGCAAACGCTGAGGCCCGCAGCGATGACGCGGGCGGGCACTCCTCGCAGGTGATGACCGAGTGCTGCCCACACTGGGGGCCGTTGGCACAGCCGGCCTGGCGCCCAGGGCGCCCACTTCCTTCGTGCTGGCAGCTGCCATGGGAGCCTCGGCCTTCCTCCCCTGCCTCACAGCCGGCAGAGCCTGCGGACGGGTCTTCTGCTTCTGGCCTCCAGCCAAGGCTACTGGAGCCACATCCTCACGTGTCGCCTCCCTCCAGCTACCCTCGTGCACGGGCTTCTTCCCGCTCGCCTCCGAGTCCTCGTGAGACACGTCTGGACATTCTTCTGCTCTGTCCCTAACCCCCTTGTCCTTCCCACCTCCTCGCGTGTCTGGGTGTGTCTGGAGCCTTCCCATTCACCCCTTCTCCCTCCAGCGAACCCCATCCAGCCGTTTACTCACCCAGTGACGTTTTCATTCAGGTTCTTGTGTCCTTCATTTCCGGGAATTCTATTTGGTTCTTTTGGAAATTGGGTTCATCCTTCTTTATCATTCCTCCTCCCAGTCATGTTTTCAGCCTTGTCTCTTATTACTTCACAGTCATTAAACCTTGTCGGCGGACCTTCTGCAAACCCTTCAGGTCTGATTCCGTTGTTTTTCTTGGCAAATGCACCGACACTTTACCTCCTTGGGTTCTTCTGTATTTTCTCCTCAGAGATCACAGAGGAAGGTTCTTCGAGGCCTGGACTGAGGGTACGTCTGGATTTGCTTTGACTGGCATTTCGTCACCTCTGAGGACGTTACAACTATTCAGGACTACGGCAATGCCTGTGCATGGACTGAGGCTTCTGGAGTCAGGCGTGCAAACTCACAAGAGAGCTAGTTTTTGGTTTCAAATATTTGGCACCAAGTGGAGGCAGCACTTCACCTTGCTAACTTCTTTTATACAGTGAGTTCATTTGCCTTTTTGCCCTGACACGACGGAGCAGAGCTCTGGGGCTACCCGCCCACAAGGTCCACCAGTGTGAACACAGTTTTTGCCTCAATACTAAATGGTGAAATACACCCATATTTTTTAAGTTCCTGGAATTATTTTGTGTTAGCGTCTTTCTTTGCTGTCACTTTTAACTTTCTGTTTAGAGCAAGCACCCTCTCCTTGTCAGTACATTAGAGAAGCACTCAATAAATTTTCACTGAGGGGCACGTGGTGGCTCACTCAGCTAACATCCAACTCTTGGTTTCAGCTGAGGTCATGATCTTGGGGTCCTGGAATCACATCAGGCTCCCCACTCAGCAGGGAACCTGCTCCAGATTCTCTCCCTCGGCCCCTCCCTCACTCACGCGCATGTACGCCTGCTCTCTCTCTCTCTCTCTCAAATGAATGAATAAATCTTTAATACATAAATAAACATTCATTGAGCTAATAAATAAATAAACAAAAATAGCCAAGCTCATTAAACTGTCCATAAGGACAGCATGAATTTTCCAAGTCAGACCATTACCTCAGGGCACCAACTACTGGTAACTGGCTCCTTGTGACAGCATTTTGGGGGCTCCCACCTGATTCTGGCTGTTTCTCAGATGGCTGATTTTCTGAACAGACAGTGTGACCACATCGTTACCCTTATTTAGCTCCGAGCTTCCCTTTCCTACTCCAGAAGCACATTTCCTGGTATCACCAAATCCAGGAACCACAGTTTCCATTCCCTAAACTTGTCTAAAATGTTTTGAAGATCAGGACCCCCAGTCTCAGCCGTGCCTAAAACAGAGGTTCCCAAGCAGACTCTCTTCCTAGAGGTCTGGGCTCAGCAGGTCTGGGGAGGGCCCAGCTTCCCTGAGACCACAGTGACTTTCCAGGTATAGGACCTCCAGGCATCAATGCCAACTGTGCAAACACAGAAAGGGTTCACCCGGCATCAGGACCGTGGAAGTAACCCAGAAGGTTACAGTGACATCATGAGCCCTGGCCTCACCTCCATCACCAGCCCCAAAGACAGGCGTGACTCCCGACAGACGACTCAGGAGTTCTGTTTTCCTACAACGAAGGATTCCAGAGACTCTGCAGCATGCCCGGCCCACACACTGTAGCCACTTGGCCTCAGGGGCGCCTCCCAGTGCTGGGGGGCCCTGTGCAGACGGAGAATGGAAGGAGCAGGAAATCTCTAACAGGTCTGTAAAAACTAAGTCCGGTCAGAACGTGCGGCTTGTGCCCTCTCAGAGAGAACAGCATGAAGGATGCACTTGTTCTGCAAAAACCGCTCTCAAACAGAAAACAGCTGTGTGCGTGGGTCCACACCACCCACACTTGTAAACACGGGCTTCCTGGAGGACCCGGCTCCACTCCACCAGCCACTTGGTAATAAAGGACTTGCTCAGGACCCCCACTAGCTGTGTTGGCTTCGCCCAGCTGCAAACCACGAGGCCCGCCCCTGCTAACACTCGCGTTCTCTCTCCCCACCCTCCATGGAATCTGCTGCAACTTTTAGGGAGCCCTCCTGTCCCCGGGGTGTGGTCCAGGGGCGGCATCACGGGGAAACTGTCAGAGATGTCTGGGCAGACAGCTGTCTCGACAAGCCCTCCAGTGGTGAGTGGCCCTTAACAGCTGACCCTCCAAGGTGCTGATGTGTTCATCGCATGGCAAACTCCCCAAGGACCTGAGGACCTATTAGGTGCTGCTCCTTCCAAACGACCTTCTCTAGCTCTCTCAGCGAGTACTGTCCAGGCCCCCTTTCCTCAGTGAGCATCACTTCCATGCCCATTTCAGATCTGTCTCTCTGGGAAAGTTTAAAGGAAGGTGGTTAAAAAAAAAAAAAAAAAAAAAAAAAAAGCTTCCCAAATGTTCACCTGTCAAAATGCCTGACCACTGCTATGTCCGGTGTACACCTTGACCTTCAGCTCATCTCTGACCGGAAGGTGCCCACACAAGCCCCTGCAGTGGGTGACCGTTCCCCCTGCACCTGCAGGCTGCTCAGCCTGGGCCAGCATGAGCATCTGGGGACCGCCATCAAGATGGCAGCCCAAAGGCCCCGGCAGACGGGAGCTCACAGAACATTCCAGTGCCTCACGCATGCCGAGCCGCATGGACGGCGGCCAATGGCACCTGCGTTCGGGCATCTGCCACAAAGAGGAAGCAGACGGAGGAAAGCAAACAACAGAGATTACCAGAGCGACTTCTCCACAATCTTGGTCCTGAAAACCTCCTCCCGGTCCAGGTTCACCGTGCAGTAGCAATCCCGCATCTTGTTTGGCCCCGGGTAAGTGGGAAGATTTTTGGCTTCACCTAAAAAGCAAATGTAAATATACCATCGACTTAGCATACAGTTACCGTGTTCCCTTGCCAATCACAGGCACTTTTCCAAGTAACGCACTTATTTCAAAGCAATGCACCTGCTGTCCCTTTTATACACTCATTAGCTCTTTATATATCTTTCTTGCTGCCACAATCAAAATATCAGAGAGCACACTACGTGTGGTGTTAAAATGCGAGGTAACATCCACATAACCTCCAAAACAAACTGATCAAAGTAGGAATCCATTAGCCTACGAATCAGGACTTTACTCATACTAGCCCCCTTAATTTTTTTTAATGTGTAAATTATGGTAAGATACATATAACTTAAAATGTATCATCTTAACCACTTTGAGTATAGAGCTCGGTAAAGTATATTTACACTATTGGGCAACCAATCTCTAACTTTTTCATATTGCAGAACTGAAACTCTGCACCCGCTCAACACAACCCCGTCCCCTCCCCCAGCACCTACCCTTCCACTTTGTGTCTGAAGCCGGCTACTCGAGGTAACTCACAGAAGTGATCAGTATTTGTCCTTCTGTGACTGCCTTCTTTCACTCAGCAAAATGCCCTCAAGGTTCATGCGTGTTGTAGCAAGTGTCAGGATTTCCTTCCTCATCAAGGCTAAATATTTCATTGTACGGATGGACCACATTTTCCTTATCCATTCATTTCCCGGCTCGCTTTGTTATTCTGAATTTGATTTGTCAGTACTAGGTCAAAGTTGGGGCAATAATTAAGGAGAAGGACCCTTTTTAAAGAAAAAAAAAAAAACATGGACTCCAGCTGTTTATTTTTTAAAAGATTTTATTTCTTTATTTGAGACAGAGTGAGTGAGCACACAAGCAGGGGTGGGGCGGGGGGAGGGGAGAAGCAGGCTCCCCGCTGAGCAGGGAGCCCGCCGCAGGGGCTCAATCCCATGACCCTGAGATCATGACCCGAGCCGAAGGCAGACGCCTCACCAACAGCGCCACCCGGCACCCCTCCAGCTGTTTAAAACACAGAGCGACTCGCCAGTTAGAGGTAAGTCCCGCGGGGAGACCTGCTATTGGTCCGGTGTCCTCCCCGCACGGCCCCTGCCCCACACGGAAGGAGAGAGCCTCAGGCAGCAGCACGCCCAGCAGGCCCCACAGAAAACAGCGCGGATACCCGGCTCCTTGTGGGCCCCGGGGTCTGTCCACGATCGCCGACAGCACCGCAGTCTGCGTCCTCTCCTGGAGACTCCCAAGTGCGAACAGGGTCGACAGCCCTGTCCACGGGCAGCCTGTGACGCGGACACCCAGGTGGAGACGACGTCTCCTCTGCGGAGGAAAAGCCTCGGGCCACCCCTCGCGTCTCAGAGGCCTCCGCTGCGTCCCGTCTCCTGGGGCGCCTGCAGGCCCCCGACCCCGCCTCGGACGGCAGGGCAGCTCGAGCGCCCGGGCACAGCCCGAACACCGGTGGCTCCGCAAAGGGCCAGACTGCCTCACTCTTGCCAAAGCTGAAGAAAGCAACAGACACCGGCCCGAACCAGAGCACCAGCTCCTCAGGACTCAGCACCACAGCCCCCCGGGCACACCCGCGCCCGCACAACTCCCAGTGGAACAGACATTCTGACTCCCTTGGGGGGAACCGGTGCGTTTTAAAGAGGCCAGTTTGCAAACGGGCCCGCCAGAGCCTCCAGGAGGGCTGAGACGAGCTCAGCTTGTTGGAAGCTACTGGACTTTTCGGTTAATATCACTACAGACGCCCACACGGCGGGGTGGGGTTTCCGGCCGGTGCACCTTATTTCTGACGAGCGTGTTTCTCCAGGGTTCCAAAGAGCAGCACATGGTCCTTTCCTGCACACAGCGGGACGGGAGACCCGATTCTCTGGGCCTCGGGTTCCCCCATGGGAGGAGCACGAGCTCTCCACAGCTCCTCCATCTCCAAGAAGCTTTTACTTCAAGATTCCAGAGATGCTCCTTTTGGGGTCACCAACGGCTCTTGGCGGGGAAGAAAAACAACGAATGTTCTCCGGTGGAGCCGCCGAGTTACCACGCTCCAGAACACACCACGTGCGCGCGAGCCAGGCCTATGGAGACGCGGCCAAGCTGGTGAGAGGCACGTGAATCTGAGCCAAACCCGGCACACGGGAAAGGTCCTGCGCACACGCACACAGGGGTGCGACCACATTCCACAGGGCCAAAGAGTACGTGGCCCACGGGCCTCTCCAGAGTGAGGGGCAAGAGCGGCAGACCCTGGCCGCCTCCGCCGCGCTGCCCGATGAGGCCGTCCCCTCACACACGCAGGCCCCAAACAGATGCTTCCTGTCTTCCGGTTCTGGTTTGGGAGATCACCTGAGCAGCGCTCACACACCTTGAAGCGTAAAACCAGCCCGACGTGGAGAACTTCCCGGCTGACATCTCGATGGTGAGAATCAGGACTCACCGTGCTTCCCCTTGGAGTTTGGTTTGGTGTTGGTGGTGTTGTTGTTTTACAGCAAATGAGATATTTAGCTGCAAGTTCCTGTGTTTCTTAAAAGGAGAAAAGAAACTTGTTCAAAAGTCTCATGGGAGATGATCACTGGGGGAAAATACAGAACTGAGATTTTCTTCCTGTTTATTCTCCAAAGAACCTCAGAACCAAGCAGCAGTCGCTGACTTCCACCAGGCGGGTCCCGTGAAGAGAGAAGGGAAAGATGTGCCTGAACCAGAGACACCCGGGGCGCCTGGGTGGCTCCGTCGGTTAACCGGCTGCCTTGGGCTCAGGTCACAATCTCTGGGTCCTGGGATCGAGTCCCGTATCAGGCTCTCTGCTCAGCACAGAGCCTGCTTCCTCCTCTCTCTCTGCCTCTCTGCCTACTTGTGATCTCTGTCAAATAAATAAATAAAATCTTTAAAAAAAGAGAGAGAGAGACACCTGACACCGCGGAAATGCCGACGTGAGCACAGACGGAGCCTCATTCCGCCGTCTCGGGGCCCCAGGCGGGGGGCCGTGAGGACAGTGCCACAGAGAGCAGCGGGCCGACCGGAACCGACGCTGACGAGCCACTCGGACAGGAGGGCGGGGAGAGCGGGCAGCACCCGCAGCCACGTCCTGCCCCAGGTCCTTACTGCTGGGGACCTCTCTGGGCAGAACGGGCTGAGAATGAGGCGTTTCCCGGAGTCCGCTTGGAGCCCCGCCGCAGAAGGGGGGTGGGCGTCTCGGCTCGCCTGTGTCCCACCCCGACCACCTTCAGAACAGATGACCACTGCTTCCACACTGACTGCTTAGTCCAAAGGCTAGAGGCCATCTCCCTGCCTGGCTGCATATAATGGGGCCTTTCGTCCCTGACGAGAACCACGTCCCTCTTCCCAGCACGTGGAGACGTTCTCGTAGGAAAGCAGAGCTGTCCCGGTATACAGCAGGTGCTGATTTATGTGCTGAATGAATGGATGAATAAGCGGCCACCACATTAAAGAAAAGTAAACCTTGGGTTCGTCCTAAGAACCCAACCAGGGTCATTTTCCACGACTCTTTCTCCTACTGCCTATGTCTGGAACGGACGCTGTGCGCCAACCAGGTTCGACGGAGACCGCACATCTGGAACCTGCTTCCCCTCCAAACGGCCAACCTACTAATACAAGCAGAAGGCAGCCGTGGAGCAGTCAAGTGCAGACCCTGAATGAGCAGACTCTGGCTCTATATCCAGGAAGCAGGCCCTGGTAAGGGGGACACAGGTTGTGATCTGAAAGTGTCATCGTTCCTGAGCCGCCACACTTTCTCATCCAGGAAAACCAAACCCTCGTGACCGGGGCCTCGTGCTCCACTGGAGGGAGGGAAGACCCTGTGTGGACGCCCACACCTCGCTGCCAGGCCGGGGGGTGGGGGGCTCCCCTCCATGTGCCCAGACCGACCACACCACGCGGCGCCGGCGGGCCCCCCGCAGCCCGGTGGCCTCGGCTCTGGAAGGGGAACACTGTGGGAGAGCGCAGGCAGGCCTTCGGGCACTCTGGCTCAGAATACCTCCATGGGCCCACACATTCTGGTGGCCAGGTGGCTTACTGTAACAACAGAAGCGTCTACGTCCCCCAAAAGATCAACCCCATGACTGAATATTCTATCTCCCTAAACGTACATTTTTGAATACCTCTTTTAATACCTGGCTAGTTTACCACTTCATAGTAAAGAGAATAAAACTCCACAAAAACAGATGAAACTGGGTTTCTAAATCGAGTTACGAGCAGCCGCCCCTACTGCACACTGATTCGGCCCAAGAACTCCACCCTGAGCTGCTCCGACGCCCCAGCACGGCACACCTGCTCCCTCTGCCTCCAGGGGATCACGACCTGGGAAGGGCTGCTCCGTACACAGGCCGATTTCCGCCCAGAGGTCGTCGGGGCAGGTCAGAGACAAGCATAAAATAAGGCTGTTCTCAAGGCACCTGCGTGGCTCAGTGGGTTGAGCGCCTGACTCTTGGTTTCGGCTCAGGTCATGAACTCCGGGTCATGGGATCCAGCCCCGGGTCGAGCTCCGTGCTCAGCAGGGAGCCCGCTGGAGGATTCTCTCTCTCCGTTGCTTCTTTCATGCACCACCCCCCCCACAAAATAATAAAATCTTAGAAAGATAAGGCTGTTCACGTGGAAATTAGAAGTTCAAAATAAAATGAAAAGAAAGAAAATTGTATCTATCCAGCCCCAACATGTGCGACTCCGTGATCCGTGGAGCTCGGAGCTCCCCGGGAGCTAAGGCAGGAATGGAAAGACGGCAGCGGGCGCGCTTCTCGGAATTTACTTGCCGGGGAGGGGGGCACTGTTTTGGAGCAGCCCTCTGCTCGCCTCACACAGGAGACAGGAAGAGAGGGGCTGGGCACATGTCCGTGTTCGCTCTGTAAGAGGGGCGACACCCCGTGCGGTGACCACAAGCAGCAGGGCACAAATTGCGGACCCTGGGAAGAGTCTCTGCAAGGGGGGCTCCTTCTGTGCCCCCCACCCCCAGTTCCAGGCTACAGCCCCGCCTACTGTGGACTCGGACCAGCATCGCCACCC